CATTAAATTGAAAAAACATATGCATTCATATATGTTCATTGCAGCATTATTTACAATAGCCAAGATATGGAAGCAACTTGTACCCATCAATAGATGAATGGGTAAAGAAGAAGTGGTGCATATATACAATGGAATATGACTCAGCCATAAAAAAGATGCTGCTTGAAACAACATGGATGGTATTGTGTTGAGTGAAATAAGTCAGACAGAGAAAGAGAAATGCTGTATAATTTCACTTATATGTAGAATCTAAAAAACAAAATAAACAAATAATAGGATCAGACTCATATATATAGGGAATATTTTGATGGTTGACAGATGGGAAGGAGTGAGGGATGGGTGAAAAAGGTGAAGGGTTCCAGAAGCACAAATTGGTAGTTACAGAATAGTCATGGGTATGTAAAGTATAGCATAGGGAATATAATCAATAATATTGTAATGGCGTCGAATGGGTACTAGTTTTATCAAGGTGATCACTTTGTGAGTTATATAAATGTGTAATCACTGGATTATAAACCTGAAACTAATATAATATTGTACCTCAACTGAAATTCAAAAATAAAAAAAATCTTTAAATGTAAAGAAAATAATCCTTAGAAGTAGAAAGAGTTCTGGAAAACCAATATCAAGTTCTAGTCTTAACATTATTTGAATTATCTCCATTTCTCTACTAGTAAGGACACAAGAATCTCTTCTTTTTTGTTGGAATTTTGAGGAATAATGAGTTAATGTATGTGAACAAAATCAGGAAAAAGGTTTTATGGAAGCAATATTGCATTCAGAAGATCATTTGGAATGATGACAATGAGTAGCTGTAATTTTTAGTTATAATGGTATTAGTTATACTTTGCGTAGATTTGGAAACTATAGCATTTAGAAGCTGGAAACTTAAAATAGCATTTAGAAGCTGGAAACTTAATATGGCATTTAGAAGCAAACTTCTTAGATTAATACAATTTAATTAATTTTATTGGCATAATGAAACCTGTATTCATAATATGGAAGAGAAAGTGAACTAACATTGTTGATGATGAATAAATTTGTTGAGTGCCTACTCATATGCTTAATCTTCATAATAACCTTCTGGGGCAGGTAGTATTGTTTTCTATTTTATAGAAGATTAAATGATAGCCTTAGAAGCTTGCTGTGATTTCACAGCTATTAAGTGACAGAGCTGGGATTTAGATCTAAATTGTAAACTCATTCCCTTTCGTGTATACTTCACTATCAGATAGTCAAAAGACTTGAAAGCAATATTATTCTGTAGGATTCTCTTGAGGTTAAAAATGAAAGAGGTATGTTTTATAACACAGGTAGAAATACTTAGTCCTACTTTTATAAACCTCAGCTTGTAGAGACACTGTTCTCTAGCTGAGACAAGTATCAGGGTGTGTTTTTAAAATACTATACTTTTTGTCTGGCTGGGCAAGGCTTAGCAGTTGAGCATCGACCTAGGATCCAGGCGATCGGGGTTTGATTCCCGGTCAGGGCACATGCCCGGGTTGCAGGCTAGGCAGCCGATCAATGACTCTCTCATCACTGATGTTTCTATCTCTCTCTCTCCCCCTCCTTTCCTCTCTCTGAAATCAATAAAGATATATTAAAAAAAAAAATACTATACTTTTTAACTGGAGGCAACCCTAGAGAGCTAGAGATTTTGCTCATCTGCTGTAGCTTAAGAACCTTAGGTTTCATTCTCTATACTTAGGAGGAATTGATTCAGCACAAACCTTAGCCAGGAGAGACAGCTGCATTTGCCTTTTGCCTTGGAACATACACGGTATACTACAAGGAAGTTATGCAAGATAGGATACTTAATGTATCTTTTTAAATTGATATAAAATTCACATAACATAAAATTCACCATTTTTAACCACTTTAAAGTGTACAATTCAGTGGTTTTTAGTATATTCACAATGTTGTGCAACCTTCACCACTAAACTGATTCCAGAACATTTTTATCCCCACAAAAAGAAACCCCCTACCCATTAGCAGTCACTCCCTATTCCCTTCTCTCTCTACCTCCTGGCAATCACTAATCTACTTTCTGTACCTCATTCTGGACATTTCACATAAATGGAATCATGCCATATGTGGCCATTTTAGTCTGGCTTCTTTTATTTAGCATGTTTTCAAGTTCTGTCTAGGCGGCAGTATGTATCAGTACTTCATTTCTTTTTATAGGTGAATAATATTCCATATGGATATATCATTTTGTTTATCCATTCATCAGTTGATGTATATTTGGATTGTTTTTATTTTTGCTATTGTAAATAATGCTGTTATGGGCGTTATTTATGTATAAGTTCTTTTTAAAACATGTTTTCATTTTCTTGGTTATATACTTAGGAGTGTAATTTCTGGGTCATATGGTGTCTATGTTTAACAGTTTGAAGAATTGTTTTCCAGAGCTATGTACCAGTTTACATTCATGGCAACAGTGTGTGAAGTTCCAGTTTCTCCTGGCCCTTACTGTTACTGCCTGTTGTGTGTGTGTGTGTGTGTGTGTGTGTGTGTGTGTGTGTGTGTGTGTGTGTGTGTGTTTTCTTATAGCCATTCTAATAGGTAAGAAGTGGTATCTCATTGTGGTTTTGATTTGCTTTTCCATAATGACTAATATTGTTGAGCATCTTTTCATGTGCTTTTTGGCCATTAATATATCTTCTTTGGAGAAATGTCTAGATCCCTTTGTCTCCTTTGCTTTTCACTTCCCTCTTTTCTTTCCCTTCCATTCACCAGGGCCTAACCCCAGATCTTTCACAGTTTCTGTTAATTCTGTTTCTCTTCCTGGGCCTATTAACTTAGTTACTATAGTTTCTAGCTTGATTTGGACTGAATATAGTGCTCAATAGTCCCAGTAATTTTTTTTTTAATCCTCACCTGAGGATGTTTTTTCCATTGCTTTTTTAGTGAGAGTGGAAGGAGGGGGGGGGAGGGAGAAAGACAGAGATAGAGAAAGAGAGATGTCGATGTGAGAGAGACACATCGAGTGACACATTGAGTGGTTGCCTCCCGATTGTACCCTGACCAGGGCCGAGCCTGCAACCGAGGTATGTGCCCTTGGCTGGAATTGAACCTGGGACCCTTCCATCTGCAGGCCAATGCTCTAACCACTGAGCCAAACCGGCTAGGGCAATTTTTTTTTTAAATATGTTTTCATTGATTTTAGAGAGAGGAAGGGAGGGGGAGAGGGTCATTGATCAGCTGCCTCCTGCACACCCCCTGCTGGGGAACGAGCCTGCAACCTGGGCATGTGCCCTGGCAGGGAATCGAACTGTGATCTCCTGGATCATAGGTCAGCGCTCAACCACTGAGCCATGCCAGCAGGGCAGTCCCGGTAATTATTTGCTAATGCTCTAATACATTTCCCATAACAACTATTCCAAATATTTTCTTCTTTTCTCAAGCTTTCAGTCTCATTCCAACCTACCTGTTCTTCATAGGTAACTTCACTTCTTTTTCTACTATACTGAGAAAATTGAGGGCATCAGGTGTAAGTTTGTACATCTTTCTTTTCTTACATTTGACATTGTCCTTTTATCACCTTTCTTTCTCCCACTTTTAGAAAATTGTCTCCTTCTTATTTCTAGAGCTATCACCTTCCCCCTGTTCTACTTTGAGACCATTCCCTGCCATTCTTCTAGCCTCTTCTTTCCTTAATTATCTATTTTTCCCCTCTCCAGTATTTTCAGCCTCTTTAGCTCCTTTTCTTCTGTTTTGGACATGAACAAATCTCTTTAACTAAGAAAAAAATACTGCCACATAATCCTTCTGTCCCTTCTAGGTACTTTTCTGTTTTTCTCATTTTTATGGTCACAAATCTCTATTGAGAGATTATTACTAATCTATTCTCTTGTCTTCTGATTTTCTTAGAGGCGCTAGTGTTCTGACTTTCACTAATATATTCTAGAAGGTCTCTAATAGTCATTTAAATCTCCAAATTCAAAGACTTTTCTCAGTTCTCACTTTCTTTGATATCAATTCCTTCTTTTAAAACTTCCCTATTCCTAGTAATGGTACCGAAAGCTTATTTTCTTCAGATCATAATCTCAGTTATTGTAAACTCCTCTCTTACTTAAGTGACTTTCTGCAGCAGTTTTAACATAAGTGGACAGATGTTCCCACATGCACTAAGCCACGCCAGAGTGCATTTGTTTACTCACAGTGACTGGTGAATGGTGAAAGCACGCATTTGCTAGACTATTCAGTATAAATTTAAAATTACTGTAATACATATAGAAAACTTTTCTGTGAAATTAAGCTTTGCATACATACTTAATTTTAATTACACCAATGTATCTACATAAGTAAAAACAGGTAAACTAACTAATTTGTCAACTTTTTGACATATGCATTGGGAAAACCTACTTTATTATATAACGGACTTTCAGCTTCAATAGATACCCATTAGTCCATTATGTCAAGGTTTTACTGTAATTGCAGACAACTCATCTAACTTCTCTGAACCTTATTTTCCTCATCTTTAAATTGATACCAACTATTATACTAGGTTCACAGGGCTATTATGAACATTAGAACATATTTACAGTGCAAAGCATTACACAGTGATAATTGTACTTAATAAAGTACACAGGAGCTGTTTGCCTTCCCAGTCCCCTAGCTGAACTGATTTGAAAATGCATGCATGAACCTTGGCAATTCAGCATATAGAACAGGATTGGCTGCTCTGCCGTGCAGCAGAGGAGCCCAGTTAGTTGGGACTGTTCCCAGCCACCTTGCTCAGTCTTTACCCTGAAATCATTAGCAAAACGTTTATCTTTGACACCATGATTTGCCCATCTGGTAAAATGTTGCAACTTTCACCTGTCAATTTGGAATGCCTTTTCCTTTTCTTTTTTGTGTTATGAAGTTTTAAGAAGAATTTAAGTCACAGTATATTGAGTAACTGATTGTTCTTTAAAGCTGCCATTTTTTTTAGTGTTTCAGTTTGTACCATTGAATTTAAATGTTTTTTTTTCCTTCACCTTCCTCTTCTTAAGGGTTTACGGCAGCCAGCTCCTTTTTCTGATGAAATTGAAGTAGACTTTAATAAGCCCTATGTCAGGGTAACTATGGAAGAAGCCAGCAGAGGAACTCCTTGTAAGTAAACGCTCAATTATTTTCTTGTTTTGCTGTTGTTTTTAGCATTCAATTGTATTTATCAAATATACACCTACTTTCTATATTCTTCCCTCAGTTTACCTGTAAAGGCTACTTGGGACAAGGGGGATGAGTTCCTTCTAACTCCCTTGCTGTTCTTTTGGGAGGATAACTGTACTCCATAAAATTTCTTTTTTTTTTTATTATTAGGCACTTGTTTCCTAGGATATTGTCACAGCTTTGAGATATAGTAGTACATACTTGCTTCCTGGGCTGTTGTCATAATTATGAAATATAGTTGAGCGCAGACAATAAGATATTAGCCTGAGCTGGACTTTAATTTTGTCTATTTTTACTAAGGTCCAAATAATATATCAGGCTGTCTCATCTTTAATAACCTTCATAATTGTTCCCCAAATCTTCCTTTCTATCAGTGAAGACTCTAGCTCTGATGCTGTTGATGATAGAGAATAAAAATATCTCAAGTTCAGAGATGCTAATCACTTAATTTTATCTTTATTGATATTATAATTTTCCAGTATTTTAAAGACTCACTTTATTATTTTCAAAGCCCATACTCTTTATTTGTATGCTTATCTTACATAATGTACTTAGTCTAGACACTCTTCTTGTTTTGGGCATTTGGTTTTAGGGATCATCATAAATAGAAACTCCCATGAGCATTTGTTGTGAATACAGTCTTATAGGCATCTGTCTTTACTTCTCTATAAATTCTTCAAATTTTCCTTTTATTTAATTCTTTTTTATTTCTTCCAGTTACTATAGTAAGAATTCTGTCTACTCTGTAATCATGTCTGGACTCAAACTCAGGCAAGCACTAGGGAATAAGAAGCAGTTATAGCCACAAATCTAGATAGAAGATATATGTGGTTCCTACTTAATTGTGTTAGTATATTTGCACCCTGTTGTAACTGAGGAGTAGCAAAATACTAACAGAAATGAATGCTGAACAATGTCAGGCCAGTGATCCCAATACCCTTTGACTATATCTTGCTGTATGGAGTATAGTTTTGGGGTCCTCACAATTCCAGAGAATACTTTCCTTTTGCAAAAGTGTTTATACATGTTGATCACAACCCCTCTGATTCATGATGTGATGTTTTAGGTTTGGCTCCCTGTATTTGAGAAATAGACAAGGCTAATGGGGCAGGTAAAATGACAACACGGAAAACCAGGCTGTATGTAACAGTGTAATGGTGGCAGGTCAAATTTCAAAATGCCACCAAACAGTTCAAGGGTCACATGGTCACATTCAGATGTGATTCAGAGTCTGTTGAGGGCAAGAACTTTTCATGCACTCTCTAATGACACACATTCACAATGCAGTACCTCACTCAGATATGATTATGTTTGTTATATTAACCACCTTTGATACATAAAATATGTGTGTGTGTAGATGTACTTTTCACAAGTTTGGAAGCTTATAATTAACAAGCACTAACTAATAAATCTAATTTAAAAATTTTTTAGAATAATAGAATTTTGCTAGTTCATTTTTGAGATAATATACTTCATAGTCTCTTTATTGTACTGTATACATGAAGGAATTAAGCCCATAGAAACTTAGAAGTAAAAGTTCCTTTATAGTAAAACAAATAATTAGTGAAAGAATTTAAGCTAAAACCTAAGTTTTTCCATCTTTGTGTTCTTTTCACCCTGGAGTGTGCAACTCTTCATAGACGTTAGTTATTAACAATAGAAAAACATCAGCCAACTGATTGTATTATAGGCGGTACATATAGTCACAAATTAGCCTATAAAGTTTGCCTATCTTATTTTGTCTGTTCAGTTTTGTGTTAAATAGACAAGTAACTGACTGAATTCATGCCAGTGCTGGACAAGGGATAAACCAGTAATGAGCCTACATACACATGCCATAGTTAGTGGATTTTAAACAAATAATTGGTACAAGGGGGCATTCCTCCCTCTGCCCCTAGGTTTTCACTTGGGAGGTTAAGGAGGTACAAGAGGGAAGTTTGTGTAATCTAGCAGAAAACTCACTACCGAGAGGAAAAACAAGTATGGCCTGAGAAATGAGAAGATCATTTCTTTTGAAAGATAAAAAAACGCCCGGCTGGGCGTGGCTCAGCGGTCGAGCGTCGACCTAAGATCCAGGCGATCAGGGTTCGATTCCTGGTCAGGGCACATGCCCGGGTTGTGGGCTCGATCTCCAGTCAGGGGCCCGCAGGCAGCAGCCAGTCAATGACTCTCTCATCATTGATGTTTCTCTCTCTTTCTCTTCTGCCTTCTTCTATCTGAAATCAATAAAGATATATTTTTTTAAAAAAGATTAAAAAAATCAATGATATGTTATCTTGGAGAACGGAAGAAAAAGCAGAGTCTGAAGGACATAGAAATCTGTTAAGGACAAAAATGTTTTGGTAATAGGTATTTGAGAGACTATATCAAAAGAGAATAAATGTAAACCCAGGTCTTTTCTGCCTGAAGAACATCTAGTTATTTAGCCAGCAGTAGTGCAAGGACTGTAATTTGTCCAAATTAGGACCATTTTGAGAGTTAAAGGGTTTGCTCTTAATAATATGCTGAGACAATAGATGTAAATCAGAGGGAGGGTATGGTTGTCCTCGCCAATAGCCACTTGGTGAAAGACTAGATAACTTGTGCTTTCTACTCAGATTTTCTAGTTCAACAGTGGCCCCTTCTGGCTATTTGGTTAATATACCAGCCTGGGTTCACCAAAGACTTGGGGTTAAGTAATAGGGAATTGAGAAGTTGGGAGGCTGGGGAAACACTGAAGAGGGCAGGAAGCACATCTGAGGTTGGTGTGAGAAAAGGATTCAGTGGTGATGTGGCCTAACGTGGGATGATTAGCTATTGGCAAACAGCCACGATCAACAGCATTCTATGCTATTTCCACTGTCAGGAAATCTCACTTGATGTACGCTAATGGCAGAAAAATAACAACAAAATAATCTTAATTTTTGTTTTCTAGCTTTTATCTTTAAGGATCAAATAAAGTGAGATCATAACCAATCTGGGCTTGTTTAGGAAAGATGGAAGTATGTTAAGTTACTTCATGGTCATGATTTCTAGGATGTAGATGAGAGGTTAAACTACTCAGATTTTGTTTTGTTTTCCTTTTTTTATAGATGAGGAAACTGAAGCTTAAAGAGCTTAAGAGTACAGAGGAAGGGGGCTGGTTGGCAAGCCTGAGCTATATAACCTTTCTGACTTTTTAGTCCATCATATTACTTCTCAGTTTTTCATTATATTGGTGTATTTATTTTATTTAAAATTTTTATTTCCTTTATTATAAAATCAATACATTCTCATGCCTAACATTCATAAAGTACAAAAAGGTGTATAGAGTGAAATGTCTTCCTTTCACCAATGTCTCACAGCCACCCAGTATCCCTTTTATGGGCAACCAGTTTTACCAATTTCTTATAGATATATAAGCAAATAATGTATAAATCCTCCCACCCTTTTAATGGGTGTATCACGGTATATTTGGTCTCCCATTGAAATTTAGGTTGTTTCACCCTAGCCAGTTTGGCTCAGTGGCTAGAATGTTGGCCCAAGGACTGAAGGGTCCCAGGTTTGATTCTGGCCAAGGGCACGTACCTCTGTTGCAGGCTTGGCCCTGATTGGGTTGAGTATGGGAAGCAACCAGTCGATGTGTCTCTCTCACATCGATGTTTCTTTCTTTCTTCCCTTCCTTCCTTCCCTCCCTCTCTCTTGTTCTTTCTCTTTCCCCCTTCTACTCACTCTGAAAAGCAATGAAAAAAATATTCTCGGGTGAGGATTAAAAAAAAAAAAAAAAGGGAAATTTAGGTTGTTTCTAAACTTTTTGCTATTACAAACAGTGCTACAATGAACAACATTTGTGGATAACATTTTAATAAATGTGTTAGTGAGATAAATTCCTAGAATTGGAATAGCTGGACCAAGGGGTATAAGCATTTGTCATTTGATTTTTGATAGATATTGCCTAATTGTGCTTCTTAAGTTGTATCAATTTATATTCCTATCAGCAATATGTGATTTCTCAGTTTAAAAGCTACTTGTTTATGGATAAAGCTATCTGGAAAGAAAAGTCCATATGCTTCCTGAGAACCAGTTTCCTCCCCCTTGATTCACTGTCTTGAGTCACAAGACAAGAGAGAAAGGTATCTTATCCCTGCCTTCACTGTATCTGAGACTCTGGCCCTTCTTTCCCAGAGTGATGTAGATGCTTCTACTGTTAATTTCTGCTCTTACAGTGAAATAGCTTTTCCTTTATTCTCGTAGTGGAAATATCTTACTAGGACTTGTTAGATTTATCATTTGAAACATGATGAGCCATTATATTAGTTTCATTGTCAGTGTGTTTATTTGGATTTGGAATTAGTCTTGTGCCCCAAGAGATCATTTCCTGGCTTTTCTTTCATAGTCCATTACCACGAAAAATAAATTGACAATCAGTTCTTTGTTATTCTCACTAACAGAGAGGAGAAGAGAAAAACTTCTACTATAAAGTCCTAAAGTATTTATATATTTGATTTTCAAATAGTTAGTATATCACCCTCTACTGAGAAAGTGTAACATCATGCTCACTATCAAGGAGAAATGCATGAAGGAATTCCATCTGTTATCCCAGAGCAGATGGAGGGTGAATCTGGGACAGAGAAGCAGTAAATTGATAACTGGTGCTTTCCTTCCTTCCTTCTTTCTTAATCTCACCTTTCTAGATAACTCTTTTTTTTTGTCTGGATAACTCTTTACTCTCTGGGCAGTAGTAGGGAGGTTTATTTTCAAAGCAAAGCATTAGTCAGTATTCAAGGAAGCTCAAAAATGAGAGAGCAAGCAGCCAGATTATAGTATTGTTTTGTTCATATGTACCCAAAGTTTAAACATAAACTGAAGATGAGGATTTTGAAGTTTTGCACTTACCTGTTGCATAACTCTTCCTTTTCACTTCTAAAATTAAGAAAAAGCAATCACGAAATCCAATTACCTGAGCAGTTTGGTACAACCACGCTAACAAAGAGTTAATGGATATTACATCAGAAGGGTCTTTGTTTCTAACAATGCCTGTGATGTTTGTTATTCCTCACAACCCCTTAAGAGAGGGATATGCGGATGAAACAGTCACATAGTGCCATTAACATTTGTCGAATATGAGATACTGAATCAGTGTATTTTTTGTGATAAATTTTCTTTTGGATTTAGATGAGCGACCTGTGAGAGTTTATGCAGATGGAATATTTGACTTATTTCATTCTGGTCATGCCCGGGCTCTGATGCAAGCAAAGAACCTTTTCCCTAATACATACCTCATTGTGGGAGGTAAGAAAACATCTGATGATTTAAGGTGCTGCCCAGAAAAAATTGTAGTAGCCTTTTTCTTCTACCTTTATAACTTGAGTTTATTGGCTTTTGTTTTGGTTTTTAAACGAGGGATATAATACACCCTCTCTAAAACATGAAGTATATAAACCCAGAGAGAGAAGTTCCAAGGCCATTGACCTGAGATGTCCAGTGTTTATCTCACTGTTTTTAGTTGAGTTTCTGCAGTCACGGAAGACCCCAGTTGCCTATTTAAGAATGGCATTTACTCTGGATTTCAGTTTAACATTCTGAATCAACTGAATTACAAAATCAGCTTAACAATTGTTATATGGTCCAGTTCAGTCTTACAAAAATATAATACGAAAACACTTTTTAAAGCTTAACTGATACAGAAATGCATAGCAGGTTTATTTCAAAGCCAAAGTTTTTAGCCCTGTTGGAACCTCTCTTCCCCAAAGTGTGAACATACTATTTAGTGAGTGTTGCTCCCAAAGGTGTATCTTGGATTAGAAAAAGCATTGTTACCTAGACTGAGCTACCTCCAGAAGATTTTTCTTGAGGTGGGGAGAATGGGTACGGCCCTAGGGATGGGAGAGGTTGGTGACTGAGGAGTGGTTAAGTGAAGAGGTCTTTGACTTACAACTCTGTGATGTGGTAAACTCAGTTTGCAGTGATGAGCTAACGCACAACTTCAAAGGCTTCACGGTGATGAATGAAAACGAGCGCTATGACGCAGTGCAGCACTGCCGCTATGTGGATGAGGTGGTGAGGAACGCTCCCTGGACCCTGACACCGGAGTTCCTGGCAGAGCACCGGGTAAGAAACTGAGCACATGTCCCATTCTCTGTTCCAGAATTTCTTCAACTCTCAGGGCTTCTGGTACTTAGGCTAGTTTTTCACTAGCTTTATTTTACTTCTACCTTCTATGTAAATTTCATCATAGAGGAGATGACAGTGATGTTACTACTAATAATAGTCATTCCTGATGTTTATATAGGGTTTGATGGTTTATAAGTACTTTTATGTCCGTTATATTTCATTTGCTCCCCATAACAATCCTTTTGGGTGATTATTATTTCCATTTTATGTGTGAGAACAGGGCCAGAGAGGGCAGTTAACTGGTCGAGATCACATGGTAGCAGGTAACACTGTAGAAATTGACCACTTCAGTTAGGTGACTCCCCCACCACCATCTCACACTGTAGGTATCCATCCTCATAACATACCAGTTTCTTTAAAGTATACATAACCCCAGCCATGCTTTTCTCACATTCCAGGAAATAGAAAGATAACATAGATTTCTCTTGTGTGACTTAAATTTAGTTTCAGGGCTTTGATTTTGGGCTACAAGTTTTGTATAGTCAGAAACCAGGGAGATTACTCACTTTTGCTTAGTGAGTTAGTATTATAAAGCCCCTTCTCTCCTTTTAATTCTCCCACATTAAAGCAACAGGTTACCTATAAAAGGTAGGTATAAAAGATGAGGGATTTATCAGGTCAGGTTGGAGACCCTCAAGCCTAAGGAACCTGCAAGCATATCATCAGTTCTCTACAGGGGTGTATGGAATGTTGGTGAATTGTTCAGTGAAACAGGAGGGAACAGATCTGGGTAGCCAACGTGCTTCAAAAGCATTACTTTTGATGGGTAGGCCTGAAGCTAAGGGATATATGTTATAACTATTTAAGATTAGGACACACCTTTTATAGTTCTCTAGCGTTTCTATGTCAACACTTAGCCAGTGGTACCAAAGGTAATGAGCAAGATTATTCTCAGTAACACAGCCAGGCAGGCCCAGTAAGAAGAGGTTAGAGGAACTTCTAATTTTGCTTTTCTTGTTAGAGTGTATGCTCAACCACAAGTCTTGCTTGCCCACCATTCTTAGTTTTGCTTTGCTGCCTATGGATCCCTAATAGGTTGTTTATGGGTAAGTGAGATAGCTGAGAGTCCCTAACATGGTCCTGATGAGCACACTTCACACTATAGTGGCTTCTGGGAGTTGGATATGGTGGTATTAGCAGTTATATTAGGAAAGGGTATATGACCTATTCAGGAAGGAATAAGTAAGTGAGGTTTAGCATATATCCCAGAAAGATTATTGATCTCAGTGCCAGTGGTCTCTTCACCGTTGCAAGAGGTATTGACACTAGTAAAATGGTAGCTCCTGAGACCCAAAGGTCTTTTGTGGCTTTGGATTTTGCATTTCTCAGGAGTACAGATGTATCTATTCTAATAAAAGTGTTCTTGGTTGTTATTTTTATATTCCCACTCATCTCCTGGAGAAACCAGTTGATAAAGAAATGACCTCTTTCTCAGGCTTTCAGAAGCCCTCGTTTGATGAATTCTTACAGACCCGGGAGGATGAGGAGACTCCTTTCTTCTTTCCTTACTGCCACCCACTAGCACAGCAGCCCAGTTTTCCAAGTCTGAGGGTAGCACCTCCAGTACACCAGGAGCAACAGCTAAAAACAAACTTGCTGACTTCATATTTATGATCCGTGAATTCTTAGGTCAATGGCTTGTAAACAAACCATGGGATTTATGAGCAAACAGCCAGAGATAAGGAGAAAGTGTCCGTTGGAGGCCCAGCCTCCCCTTTTTGTCCTTTCCTGGGCTTGCGAGTATGTACTGCTTCTCCCTGCAGGGCAGGCATCCTGGGTTTTAAGTGATATTTTCTTATTTTCAGATTGATTTTGTAGCCCATGACGACATCCCTTATTCTTCTGCTGGAAGTGATGATGTTTATAAGCACATCAAGGAAGCAGGTGAGTGGATTGATGTGCATATTCTCCCTGCGATGTGCACAGTCTCAGGGCAGTGACAGAGATTCAACCACATCGCTGCTTTGCAGAGAAAGTTTATACACTTTCTCTGTAAAGTTCAACATCACTTTCAGGCCACACTGGATAAGAGGTTAAGGTGTGAGCATAGCACTGAAATCCATCAATTCTCAGTTTAAATATCTCCTATTGCTATCTGAATTTCAGGAAGCTTTTCTCCAGCCCTGTAGTTTTCTTAATATCAGGGCCACATAGCTCCTCCTTCCCTTAACCCCTGTCCTTTGATTCGTTCTTCCTTCTGTGTGTCGGTATCTCCAGACTTCCCTTAGTAACAGCAGATTCTGTTTTTTGAGGAATGGAAAGGAATGTTGCTCCCAGTTTCTGTCTAGTCCTACTGCCTGAGCTAACTGGAATGTCACAGTGTTTGTATGTGTTTTGGGGTTAGGCATGTTTGCTCCAACACAGAGGACAGAAGGTATCTCTACATCAGACATCATCACCCGAATTGTCCGGGACTATGATGTATATGCCAGACGAAACCTACAGAGGGGCTACACGGCAAAGGAGCTCAATGTCAGCTTTATCAACGTGAGTTCCAACCTCATCCCAGAGTCCCCTGGCCCAGTAAGACACACATTGCCTCCCACTTATCTGAGCTGAACTTGCTTTTCAGTCTGCTATAATGATTTCCTCCAAAAGCTCACTGAATCCTCCTTGCAGATAGCACTATGTTAAGCTCTTGACAAAGAGAATGAAACAAGCATTTTCGACCTTTATGGTCTAGTATCAACATATTGATATAAAGACATACCAATTTAATAAATAAATAAATAAATAAGAATGTGTAACTTACAAAGTTCAATATGTATCTCAAATACATTTAAAATAGTGGTTCTTAGCCTTTTAAAAAATTTTTTATTTGATGTTCCTTTGGAAATCTGATGAAAGCTGTGGATCCTCTCCCTGTATGGATAGCGACACACATTTTGCATGCAATTTCTCAGGACATGTAGACCTAAGTTTTAAAATTTGATTTATGAAAGCAAAATTTACCTTAGCTTAATACTGTCCTTTAGCAACAAACTGCTATACATTTTGTATATAAATTATACCTCTATAAAGTTTATTTAAAAAGAAGGCTGCAAACTGTGTCTTCTACATTAGTAGTTTACCGTGCTTCCTCACCTGTCCCTCACTCTGTGAATTAGGAATAGGTAAAATGGTTTCATCTGAGTATGATTTATCTATGCAGATAAACCCTAGCTGTTGCTAAACACCTGCTACAGAACCTTTATCTATTTTCAGGTGTTTAAAAATCTTAAACATGTTTCCTTACCCCTCTATGATTGGGAAATTATGAGAATACTTTTCATTTGACTAAAGACTCCCTGCCCCACCACCCCCAGAGAGATCTTTCCATTTTCTCTTATCTTTAGGGAGCTGGTAGAACCAGAGAATATCATCTTTATTTTGTGAATGAGCAAACAGACCTCCAAATACTAAAAACAGCTCTTGTAAAATCATAGAAAAAACCAATGATAAAGGAGAAAAGTCCAATATGGTAGATGAATTAAGTAAAAGATCTACTACTTCCACTTTCAACTTATTGTAGTTGGCTTGTTTTTGGCAATGTTGTACAGTGATCTTGTTGCTCCCTTTACATCTCCATCTAGAATGGGGTTTGGGTTATGTTGGGTATGTTTGTGTTCTAAGTCTATGTTTTGTCTTTAAAAATGTGACTTCATTTGGTTACATACATGTTACTGGGCCTACCCTATATATTTAGTTTAGTTTGGGTTTCTACGATATTAGAATTATCACACTTTTGTATATGATGACCATCCAGAGCATATCCTATCTGTTATTTTGCTAGAGAAGTGTGGGATAGATTAAGCAAAGTGGAATTCTAAAGAATAAAAAGAGTGTTAATAGAGTGTCAAACCATGTTTTTCCCCCTCCCTTTGGTATGAAAGGTCAGAGTGGGTATTATTTCTTAAAACAGTTCTTTCTTTACCTAGGAGAAGAAATACCACTTGCAGGAACGGGTTGACAAAGTGAAGAAGAAAGTGAAAGATGTGGAAGAAAAGTCAAAAGAATTTGTTCAGAAGGTAGAAGAAAAAAGCATTGACCTCATTCAGAAATGGGAGGAGAAATCCCGAGAATTCATTGGAAATTTCCTGGAAATGTTTGGTCCAGAAGGAGCACTGGTACGTTCTTTCCAGCTGGATAACTTAGGGAATTTTAGGAAAATTTAGGGAGTTCTCATGCTGTGGAAAGAATTATGGAATCCTTGAGCAGAAAGGGACATTGACATTCAGGAGTTATCTAACCTGTTCTCCTTCTTGGGCAGAACTGTATTTTGACTATCCCAAAAAGTTCTTTAAAATCTTTACAGAAAGAGATTACATATTCTCCTAAATAATTTTGTCAGCTATCAGCATCCAAATATGCTGGCAAAATAAGTGAGTAGCCCTGCCCACTTCTACACTATAGTTTTAGATAGAAGGAAAGGAAAGAACAAAGAACAGTAAAAAGAAAGCTGCCTCCACTACAAACAGCTGCTGCAGGGTCGCTGGGTGAGGTGGGAATTCTGTCCTTGAGGATTATAGCAAGGCCTTTTCAAGTCAAATAGAGGGTGTATGAGTAGCTGTTCAGCAAGTGAGCCCTAGGTTAGATATCAGGAAGGATCTGACTGTGAGGGCATTTGGATACCAGAATAGATTATTGAGAAAATATGGAATTTCCTTTTCAGAGAATTCTAAAACTCAGAAAGGTACCTTTTAGTCCAAGTTAGTTCCTTTGTTCTTGCCTGGAATCTGGACTACAAGCCAGGTGGGCTTTTAAGAATTCCTTTGACATAGAAGTCAGGAATGGGTGACTGGATAACAGGTGAGAACCTTTAGACAGCTTATATAACATAGACCACTTTAGGGAGAAAATTACTTAGAAGTATAGCTATGTCCCTCCTTGGCTTACTTGGTCACTTTTGACATTTCAGAGGGCACTCATGATCATATAAAGTCTCAGACACAGCCCTGATGATTTAGTAGGATCCATATGTTTCTTCTAACTCTTCCTTTTGGTCTCCCCAGAAACATATGCTGAAAGAGGGGAAAGGCCGGATGCTGCAGGCCATCAGTCCAAAGCAGAGTCCCAGCAGCAGCCCCACTCGTGAACGCTCCCCCTCCCCCTCTTTCCGATGGCCCTTCTCTGGCAAGACTTCCCCTCCTTCCTCCCCAGCAAACTTCTCCAGGCGCAAGGCTGCAGCCTATGATATCAGTGAAGATGAAGAAGACTAATTTTTCATCCCTCCTTCCCTCTCCCCACCTTCTGTCCCATCACCTTCAGAAGCTCTCTGTTGAATTCCAAATTGTGATCCCAACAATAAACCTAAGGACAGCTACAAAGGAAAGACAATTGGGCAAGAGGACCTCAGATGGGGGGACCAGACAGCCCATCCTCCAAGAGACATCACCCACCCAAGAAGGAGGCTGACTACACCTTAGAAGCCTGTTCTGCATCCGTATACCCTCCCCACGGACTTTGATTTACTGTTTATGTTCATGTGATCTTGACAGGGAAATTGTCATTTTTATTAATTTTTAAAAATTAGTCTTTCAAATATAGTAAATAGAACTAATTTTTTGCCCCTGAGGAGTGGGCAGAAGGAAGTGGTGTAATACCCAGAGGCCTTTTCTTCCTGATACACTATGAGTGTTTGCCTTCTGTTGTGAGGCAGACCAGCTTGCCAAGTCCTTCAGGCAATGAGCCATGCTGATGGGTGATTTGGGTGGGGGATGAAATATAATTTTGGTTTCCTTAAAAAAATGCTAAAAGCTAGGTGATAGTCACAAATCCCCTAACGGTGCTGCTTGCACGTGTCAAGGTGGCTGTGGGAAGGAGATCTAAGCCTAGCTTTTCTTACTCCCTGAGGAGTTTCTTGTTGGACCCAATGGGGTCCATGAAGACACTTATAGGGATGGAACCAGTGCACATAGTATCAGCTGCGCCTTTTCTGCTGTGTTCATCTCAGAAAACTCTATGGCCCAGTTATTTGGGAGCTCTTGTCAATCTCTCTTGTAATCTATTATTAAAGGAAGGAACACATTCAGATTTACTGTGATTGTGGAGGAGGTGGGACAATACTCAACCCTGTACAAGTAAGTGTAGATTCGTTTTCCCCCTGGAATAAGTCCCTGGCCTTGCTAGTCCTATTTCTGTGCTTATTACCTAGCTTTTTACAAAGGATACTTTGTAAATGTCTGCAATTTGAGCATGATCTATTAATCCATGCTGCTCAAACTCATATTGAATAGGGAGATTTGCAGAGAATATAGATGCAAAAGCATAAGGAAATACCTGCCTTCCTATCTTGACCTCTGCCCCTCTTAAGAATGTTCTTGACTGGAACCAGTGCTCCACACGGTGTTTGTTTTCCTCTGAGAGTGGCAGCTAGCAGGGACTTACTTTCCTCTACTGCCCCTCCAGCAAGCCACAGAGCAAGGGTTCACATGACAAGGATATGATAGGTTCTTTCCCTCTCCCACATGTGCCTGGTGGCTATGGTCCCACTGCCCCTGTTAGGTTGCCCAGGGGGATTCATCCCTTAAATTTCACATCAGAAAATGCAGAAGTTTAACACTTGCTGTTGAGCTTGAGCTCATTTTAAATCTCTAGCATCCTATAGCTACATGACTTAGCAGATCATAACCTATCAGTAATCCTGTAACTGGGTACAGGATTATGTCCAGGCCCCACCGCGTCACTCATAAATACCCCTTGTGGGGGTGGAGTTTTAGTGTTTTCAGCTAAGAAAACCACATTTTATCTTTTCTTGCCCTTCTGCTAGGGCTGTGAGCATCTCATAGTCATCTCCCTTCCTGGTAAAACCTGCCTGCCTGTGCACCAAAACTACATAGGTTCTTTAAACTCAGATCACCCAGAGACAGAGCATGGCAGAGTAGAGGGACAAAGGGGGGGAACGTCTTGTCCTGATGGCCTATGAAAACTACATTTCTAAATCTTCTCATGAAGTGTTATTTTTACTCTCAAATCTGGTTTACATGAGCTTTGGCTTGGGGGGGGGTGTCCTGTTTTTGAAACAGGTGAAGTTAATATTTGCCTACATTACCCAGCTTCATATGATCACTTGCTTTAACTTTTCTGCTTCAGTCTTCTTTGGGAATACTATTTCAGTCTCACTTTCCCTGGTATAGAAAGGCAGTGAAGTCACCACTGAAGCCCACCTACCTGTTCCCTCAAAGTACACGTTACTCAGTATGTTTGGAAAGGGAGATGCCCCAAATATGGTTTTCCTCCCTGTAGTCACTCCTCTCAAGTGTGTTGTGTGGGTCTTGAATCTTTGGGCCCTCCTCTGCGCTGTCAATGGGCTGCTTTTGGCATGCCGGCCCTCCGAATATGACGTCTAGGCTGATAATCTCTGTGACACAAGTAGGGCCCGCATGTGCACACTTACTTGGAAAACTCTCTTGCCTCTTTTGGTGAGCCTCTACAGCCTGTCTCCTAACACTAGTGTATCTTCAAATACTTTTGACTGAAAGCAAAAACTGTCATGGTGCAGCAGCTTAGATACTCTGGGATGAGTGTGATCCTTGGTGCTGGATAAGAATGGGTGGATGAAAGAAGCTGTGGGGATGGTGCATTATTTGATCATTTGTGCCTGATTAAATGAGGTTAGGGGTTGGCATACCACAACCACACCCATGACTTGTACATCTTCCAGTATTAATGTTTGAGGTTGTGGAGCTGTTTCTCTGAATCCCACCCACAAAGCTGTTAGCTTGAGTAGGCCAAATGTGGCAGAGATGGGAGAGCCTTCGAAGGTGGTTGGCCCCAGAGCCTCTGTATGCAAGGCAGGAGGAGCATGGAGAAGGAAGTCCTATTGCTGGTGCTAGGGAGGTGCTGTTTCAGCAGTTTCCTTGAGATAGGCTGGGCAGAAAATTCGCTCTTTTCATGTACTAGACTCAGTAGCACTGAAGATTAGAGTTTGAAACTTTAGAGTAATAGAAAGGGGTCATGTGTACTGCTACAGCTGCTGCTGATAGAGTCAAAGGCCATTATTTTGCTGAGGTTTGGGTAAGAAGGTTGGGGATGTGAGGAGGTTGGGCATCTTGAAGTGGAGAGGAAATAGGAGTGAGGTCAAGAGAACTTTGACCTTTTGTAATCACTGACAACTTCTTACGCAGCACCTGAGTTGCATTTTTAAAATTTTACTTGTGACCACTCACCTGGTCGGGCAGCCTCTGCGTATCCCCTCTACAGTAGTTCACCGTGCTTTTGTTACTCTCTTTCTGTATTCTCTTGACTTATGGGTAGCTTTTGATTTTCTGGAGCTCATTGCCTTTTTAATCCTGTTCTAGATCCCATATTTAAAGTCTTTCCAAATCAATTATACTTTGCTGCTTTTCTTTAATTCCCTAAAAGCCATAGTTTCTACATTTTCTCACCAGAGGTCGAACCAATACATGTAGAAAAACAACTCCCTTAACAATGTTTTTAACTAATGGTATTTTTTTTTAAGCTTACCAATATAAGTATTTTTGAAGGTTATATTTTTCAAAGTCATATAATGATTGTTCTTGTTTTCTCTCATTGAATAGATTGTCATGGGATAGAGAGTTGTCCCTAGCTTCTATTTTTCCAAATAAGTAGAACATGTTCTTGGGATTATGCTATTAAATGTTAATTTTCTTTAAAAGAAGGAAGATTTTTCTGTCTGCCAAACTTACACGTTAGTACTCAGATTGGGATAGAAAACAAAAGTGCAAGGTTTAACTCAGGTTGTGTTCTTTTAGGTTTAAAGTGGGGTTTCCCACCCTTTTTTGAAGGCACTTGACTGTTTTGAATACAGAGACTTGGTGGGTTGGATTTTTTTGTATTGAAGAACCTGAAAAAAAAAAAGTCCTGGAAAGAAATGCTGGCCTCAGCATGAAAGTTAACCCCATCACCAGTGCTGACGTCTGCAGGAAGGTTTTCCGCAATTGATGTTCAGCATATTGTTTGCCTGTCTGAGTGTCATTAATTTGTTCAGAGTTATTCTGGCTTTTGTCATTTAGCCAAATAAAAGCAAAGTGATTTTACCTAATGTTTTATTTTCTGTTTTTTTGACCTGATAATATATGTATATGATACATTTTATGATTTGGGACTTTTACCTGTACTCTCATTTCCTTTCCTTTTGCATCCTAATTTATCTGCTCAAAATCAAGCTCCATGGCCATATTATTGGGGGATTCCTTTTGCAGCTTGGCACAGAAGACTTAAAAGCCATTGTACCACAAAGGGAGGCCAACCCAGAACTCCTAGGCCTAATGTCATCAGCACTCTAACAACACTTCTGTAAGGAAAAGAACACTTTCAGTCTAATCTTCAGGAGGCTAGTTTCTTCAAATCTTTGCCCTTGTACTATTTTGCCTGAGTTCTACTCGTTCTTATACCAAACAACCAACCATATACTCTTCCCCCTTTCATTTGCTTTGAGAAAACTCAGAGTGACCTTTCAGTATACAAGCTTTAAGGGCTAATCATGGCACCTACAGGGGTAATGTACCCAGTTGTAGAGTTTCAAACTCCATCCTATTTGTCTATTATAAAACTAAATTACCTTTCCCAGGCAAGATCCAAAACAATTTCATCTAAAGCAATTGCATAACTCAGCTTCACCTCTATACTCCAATGTAATTGGCCAGCTTGTGCTGACAATGAATCCTTCCCCATTTGGTCAATGTTGAGGGACAGTGAAGAAATCTTGTGCCCATCTCATGAGTACATGTCTTTCATTGTCTAAGCCACCAACTCAGGCTTTGAGGTTCAAATCCAGGTCTGGAGAAGAGAAAGGTTCATATCCAGCCTTGTCATCTTTTCTTCTGTAGTATATTCGTGTCAGCACAGTCATCAGAAAAGTCTCCAGTATGAGGAGGTGGCAATTCATCACTGCAGTGTGGGGTGAAATATAAGGGAAGTTATACTAAATTATAGAGGTGGTATCCCACCTAGCATGTGAGTTGAACTCTTTCTGCAATTTATCCTCAAACCAGGACCTAGAGGTTGTCATGAGTAACATACCATGTTAATGGTAGAGCCAGAACCAAAACTTGGCTCTCAACCATCTGCAGTCTGAGGCTAACATTAAAACTCATTTCTTTTGTGTTTTATCAGCATGACCTTCTGCTTTCTAACCCCACCCCTTCCTCTCCCAAGAGCTAAGGATTAAACCCGTGGCTTCCTGGATTGGCCATCAAGGCTGGCCTCAAGGTTGGCCTTTGTGTGAGCAGAGAAGTCATAGTCTCCTTAAAGCTCTGCTGGGGTTCTTGGAGATAGATCCCTTTCTGAATATTTGGAGCAGTAGCCGGCCTGGCCCAACCTCTGTTCTAAGGTCCTCTCTTCCCTGACCCTCCTCCTCTCACCCATCCTGGAATGGGCTAGGAGCTCACTCACCTTGAGACCTGATTTTAGAGGAAAAGGGAGGTGAACAAGCTATCTGCCCACCATTGGCCAAGACTGAGAAGATGGATGGCTGCAGGGCAGTCAGGATGAGCAGCACCTGCAGGAGGGAAAAGAGAAGCTAGGGCAGAATGGGCCCGGCGTCCAAGGCCCCGAGGCCAGCTGGCCTACTGTCGTGCTTGTCCTGCCAGTGTGCATTCAGCCAACCTTTAGATCTGCGTGGTCCCAGAGGGTTTCACACTTGATTAAAATGTGGTAGAGTTTCTGATCCTTAGGAAAATTACAGCCTCATCTTCTACCCAATATTTTATGAGAGTTCCTGACAAGATACAACAACAACTGATGGGGAATTCAAGTTTATTCCCCTACTTCAGCCATGGCTACTAATGAGCACTTAATGGGTGAAAAGGGTGGTTAGGGAAGAGTCAGCCCATCTACCTCAAGTGCCTGAGATCCCTGCTGATAGAATGATGGGCAATTAACAGTTAAAGTGCCCTTTGAAGAATCTCTGCTAAGGCTGGGGCTGGGGGCGAAGGGGGAAAGGGGAATTAGAGTTCAGTGGGTACAGAGTTTCTGTGGAAGACAGAAACGTTTTGGGGATAAATAGTGGTGATGGTTGTACAACAAAGCGGGTGCACTTAATACCACTGAACTGTACACATAAAAATGGTTAAAATTGTAAATTTTATGTTACCTATATTATACCACAATAAAACATTTTAAAAAAGAAGAAAAAGGTAATCTCTGTCCAAAGATTATCATTTGCCTTAGTACTTGCTCTCCCGGAGGCAAGGCAGACTCGGCTTGTCCAGGCTTCCCCAGAGTAACCACAGGCAGGCTCGGCAACCACAGGCGTTTACCCTAAGCGCTTCAGGGGCCCAGATCCTTTCTGGCCCTCAGTCCCTGATCCCATTTCAGGCTCTTCCCTCTCTCTTCTCCTAGCCCCTTCAATTCTCCCTACCATGTACCTGGAAATTCACATTTCAGAGGCATCTGTTTAGACTAAATGAGAATTTATTTGAAGTTACTCTGTTAACTATAATGCAGTTATTATTTCTTGAGAGTAGGAGAAAGGCCAGCAAGGAGACAGAAAGAATGGAGAGAAGGAAACAAGATATTACATTTGGTGGAAAAGTTGTCTTTGGACTTGGAAAATGGAAAGTGTAAAAAGTGAACAAACCTGCCTTTGAGAGAACCTGCAGAAGAGGTGTGAAGATGAGAGGTAGTGTGGTGAGATGAAGGAATGTGGGTTGGGGAGTTAGACAGACATGGGTTTAAATTCAAGCCCCACCCTACGTGCCTTTGAGCAAGTCCTGTAACATCTCAGGGTCTAAGTTTCCTTATTTGTAAAATAATAATAATGACTCCTAAGATTATTGTGAAAACTTAAATGTAACATATGAAGCTCTGGCCAGATGGCTCAGTTGGTTGAAGTGTCATCCCATTCATCAGAAGTTTGTGGGTTCGATTCCCGGGCAGGGTGCATACCTATGTTGAGGGTTTGATCCCCTGTTGGGGCAGGTAAGGGAGGCAACCAATTGATGTTTCTCTCTCATACTGATGGTTCTCTGTGTGTGGGTGTCTCCCTGTCTGCCCTCCAGCCTCTTCTATTCTCTAAACATATCTTCGGGTGAGCCTTAAAAAAATGTACACTGTATGAAAGGCGCCTAGCACATGGTGTAGGTAGTTCATAGTTGTAGCTGAGATAATGCGGCTGGTGCTGGTGGTGGTGATGGATTATAGGGTTTTAGGAAGTAATAGTAGGAAAGGAAAAAAAGCAGAGGCAGAAGAATTTAAGGTTTGATAATACATGTGATATGGGTTGAATTGTGCCCTCCAAACAGATATGTTGAAGTCCTAACCCCCAGCACCTCAGAATGTGACCTTATTTTGAAACAGCATCATTGTTTTGGTTAACTAATTGTATGTAATTGGTTAAGATGAAGTCACACTAGAGTAAGGTGGGTCCTTATTCTAATATGGCTGATGTCCTTCTAAGAAGAGGAAAAGAGACACAAGACACAGACACTTGAGAGGAGGAGGCCATGTGATGACTGAGGCAGAAGTCAGAGATGCAGCTGTGAGCCGAAGAGTGCAGAGGCTGCTGGCAAACCTCCAGAAGCAGGGAAAAGAAAGGAAGGAGCCTTCCCTACAGGTTTCCCAGGGAGCACGGCCCTGCTGGCATCTTGATTTTGGACTTCTAGCCTCCAGTACTGTGAGAGAATAAATGTCGGTTGTTTTAAGCCACTTGATGGTATTTTGTTATGGCCGCCCCAACAGACAATTACAGCACAGAAGAGCAAAAACTGGGAAGGGGCACAGATCATGTTCCAAACCTCACAGGAAACCTAAGGCTTAAGAAGATCCCCAGACCCCCATTTAGCCTTTATTAGTCTCGCCTCCTAACCCCAATTATTTGTAGTTCTTTTATGAACCATCTTGTCTCTCGCAGGGTGTAGTTACCTGGAACAAAGCAAATTTGGCTCCTATGTTCTGCTCGCCCAGGTGCTGCTTGGCTTGACGGAAAAGGATGCCCAGGGTCCAGAGAGCCAACAGGGTGGACACGCCGAGGACAGTGTTGATCCACAGGGCTGTGCTCTCCTCAGAAATCTGGTGGCAGACCAAATAGGAGTCAGTGAGGGAAGCAAGTCCTTTCTTTCCTTCTGTTTCTTCCCCCAAGACAGGTAATAGAAAAGCCCCATGGCCTTAGCCTATTCTAGTCTCCTCTCCCCCACCATAGTTCTTGAACCACCATGGTCACCCTGTCCCCAGGTGTTAGGGGATGCTGGCTCCAGCTATTCCTCCTGGAGCTCAAAGGTACTGAGTCTCGGAGTTCGCTGCCCCTTACTCCTGGCTTACGTCTGCTGGCTCATAGATGCCATCGGGGATGAGAAACAGGCCCACCAGGCCCAGTGTTATCTTGAAGAAGGCATACTGGAATGGGCCCAACATCAGCAGCTGAAGCTTCTTCCTGAGGGGAGAAGAGGGTTAGGGACATGGACCCACAGGCCACCCACCCCAAGAAGACTCTCATCTCCCTCCCTGGGCTCCTGGGCCGAGGCTTGGCTGCCATCAGACACCACAAGGGTTAAGTGGGTGAGGACAGAGGAGGAAGCCAGAACATGGAGAGCATCGGCAGCCCTTCTTCTTGCTTCCCACTCCCTCCCCGGCCAGAATGCTGCCTTTCGAGCAAAAACTATCAGTGCCGACCCAACCTCATTGACCAGGACGAGCAAATAAATAGCCTAGAGTCCAATTTGCTCTGTATGGCTGAACTTCGTAGGGGGCAATGGGCTTACATGATGAACTTTGGAGTTCTTTCTCTGCTCCCCCAACCCACGGTGGGTGCCCAATGTGTGGATCCTGGCTGGGGATGCCCACCCTTTTATCGTTAGGTTTGTTCCATACGAGACTAATTCCTAGAGGCTTGAAGCGGGGCTGAGGGAGCCAGCAGAAACTCGGGAGAGAGCAGCAAGAGGTCGCCTGTTCCTCCAGGAGGCGCCCCCTCCCGCCCTACCTGGTGAGCATGAGTCTGGGGCAGCAGGGGCAGCAGCAGCAGCAGGGACCCGTGTGGATCATCATCGGGGTGTCCTGCAGCGTCCGCACGACTGCCTCCTTCCCGCCGAAGCCCTGCACCATGACCAGCATGAGCAGGTAGAAGCACACCGCGTAAAACCTGGGGAGGGGGAGCCGTGGGCCTGAGCGCGCACAGGGAGGCAGCAGCCGGCGGGGACAGCCACGCTGCCAAAGACAGGCGGGCTGCAAAGGGAGCAGGGGGGTGGGATTTACCCGGGGATCATGGTACGGACTAGGCGTTTTGAACGTGCGGCCCAAGAGGAGCGAGAGAAAGGGCAGAGTCCAGGGGCCTGGGAAGGGGCAGTTTCAGGTGGCCTAGAATGAACAGATCCACATGCTCAAGAGACCCGGGCCAGCACAAGTTGGAAAGGGCTTGATTTGTGACCACTACGAATTGGTTTGCAGGGATTTGTGGAAGGGAT